CCTGACTGTAGTCGGAAGATGTAATTAGCTTGTGCCAGTAACATTTGTGAGTGTAGGATGTCTCCCTTGAAGACAGTCATATTTGTGTTAGCCGAACCTGGGAACAGGATCTCAGTTCACCTGCTGCTCTTCCTTCTTGCCTTCTATTGTCTTTAGCCACCCGCTGTCTGAGACTAATCTCCTGTGCGACAATAGCGTCTGATTTCCTTGTGACTGTGAAACAGAATCCAGGTGTGTAAAGATGTGGCTGTTTGAGGGAATGTTGTTCTTAATAACAAAAAAAATAAAGAAGGAGTATCTACAAAGTATATAGCCAAAAAAAATTGTGGGTATTCTTGGGGGGTGGGAATGGAGCTTGTAATTTTAGCAAATGCTAATAGCAGTTTTCTTTTCTGGTGTTTGCGGTCAAGAAATGGAGTCTTTCCTTGTGGTCGCCCCTCTCCATTAGTAGCAGAAGGGTTAGCAAAAGGAGTTCCTTGGTTTTGAGGCAGGTGAGATTGGTGATTCAGTTGGAGAGAACCCGCTGTATCTCTAACTGGCATCCTCTGTAGCACAGCTTCTGTAGCCTCCAGGATTAACTCATGATCCTTACTGCCCTGCTATTGAACACTGGTGGTAGTGAGTCTAGGAGCCCGTGATGGTGCGGAGATGGGATGAACATGCTTTCTTGCTCACGAGGGACGTTGTGACACCCAGCACTGAGGTTCTTCTACAAGACAAGCAAACTGAGCTAGTCTTCAGGGTGGGAGGGAGGGAAGGAAGACCGCTGGTTTGATAGTCAAACCATCCTGTTACCCTTGGTGTTTCTGTACCTACATGCTATGGGTATTCCCTTCTGCCTCCAAGTCCTCCCAGTCACATTTGATCTCAGCAAGTGATTTTTCCAGAGTTTGTCCCATGAGAATTGCTGACTTGCCAAGGAGGAGCAAGCACCCACAGGGGATGTGGGTCAATGAACATCTTTGGAGTTTGTGCCGCAACCATAAGAAGAGTGCCATGGCTCGGCCGGCAGTATCGTCATTCTGGGTACAGTTCTCGTCACTCATTCAAAAAAGAGAAGCCTGGAGTCTTGGAGCAATAAGAAATTACTCTTATACTCTACAGATTAAAGGTTGAACAGCTGAGGAGTAGAAAGATGTTGAGTGAGAATAAATGAACGAGCAAGAGTCCCACACGTTTGGGACTGCAGTACAAATCTCTTGAGGTTGAATCTTGATAGATGCAGTACCACATGTATTTTTTTCTTCCTGTGGATACTGATCATAACAGACAGCCAACCACGGAGTAGGCACAGACTCTATGCCCCTCCTGGCCCTTTTCATCACTCCAGCAATAGCTCTGGGGGGTGCCCAGAACAAGCTCCATTTTCCATTATTTCAACCCTCCAGAGGCATTAATTTGATCCTTTATCCACTGCAGTAGATACACGCATGGAACCATGAACTCGCATCCACTCAGGCATGTAAAGTTAACTTTTTTTAATGAATGCTGGTTTCTATTTTTTAAAAATGCACAATTTTTTTTTTTTCAGTCAGAGCACAAAACTTGCTAATTTGAATGGTAAGGTATTAAACTACTCAGTATATTTTGTTATGGCTACTGGTGAATTACAGCATCCTGACTGCAATACCAGAGTTCTCAGACAAATCTGTACTTGCTCAGGACTTTGAAAATAGGTATATTGTTTTATTTTTATCACAGGGGCTATTTTTCTGTGCTTCAGGAAGGGCAATCTGCAAGGATCCTCAGGGGACCACAAGGACTCCCTTAATTTTTTATAAGCAGTTCTTTGCTGCTATTTTAGGAACATGTGTTTTGACGTGTAGCTGCTTTTTATACAAGGAAGGAACACACCATCTCTGCCTCCATTTCTTTTATTAATGTATATGCTTTTTAATTTTTCAGACCTTTAGGAACTGCAGTTTGTCTTGGTTTGATCGTACAGCCTCGCATAATTTTATCTGCAAACGTGAAAACCTTGCTTTCAAAATACAGAGTAGACAGACACTTGCAGATAGATTCTCTGCAGTGAGACCTATCATCTTTAAGATGGTATTTTGAATTTGTACAAGTATTTCTTTTAAAAAGTGTATTGTGTCTCCAACATCTGAACAAACAGGCCGCTATTTCTTAAGCCCACTAAAATAGGGAAATGTAGGAAAATAAACACTAGGAAAATATGTCTTTGGCCTAAGTATGAGAAGTGTCATGTTGAGCAAATGAACGTGTAGAGGCACGTCTCTTGGGGCCGGCTGCAAGTGAAGCAGACATCTTGCTCCCTTCTCAGTGAACCTCAGTGGAAGTGAATTGGATAACCGTGCTCCGGCGTGTCTCAGGATACGCTCTGTATGAGGGTGATGTGAGGTACACTGAATGCAAAACTGTTCAAAGGCACTGGTTTCAGTTTAAGAATAAAATGAAAAATGGAAAAAATTAAGGCAGGGAAGAAAAGAGGTGGGTGTTTTTAGATGAAGTATGAAAACAGGTGGAAAATATGTGACAAAACCCACTACATTTATATTTCTAAGAGGCAGTCTTATCCCTAAATTATTCCACCTGCAGAAAAATCTGTGGATAAAAATATATGTAAAATCGTGACAACTGTTTGTATTAATTCAGCGCTTTATGTTATTTTTCCTTTCAGGAGAAGAAAGGGAAGTTATGAGAAGCTCAAGGTACTGTCTAGAGTATAATAGAAGAATAGCAGTCAATGATAGAGGGTTACTTATTTGTTTTCACACATTAAATATTTAAAAAGTTACATTTTCAGGCCCATTTCTGCTTAGTATATTTACTTGTTCCAATGTATTGGTGTGTTTTCAGCAAACATGAATTTAGCCGGCTGTTCTTCTGTTTGAGGTGACTAAATGCATTGCAGTGAAAACTGGAATTGTTTGGTAGGCGTGATTAAAATCTTGCTGGTGTGTCCAGGAACATGTAGCTACGCTGGGGTTTGAATGTTTGAAAAAAGCACAAGTACAGGCCTGCTCGCTTCTGGACTTCAGATTTTTGCTTAGTGACGTTATTAACTAAAGAGAATACCTCTACCTTGCAAGTATGCTTGAGTATATCATCGTCATGCTTCCTCTGCAGTTTGTAAGACTATATAAAAATGACACAAACGGGGAATTTTTCTAACATGAAGAGTATCATTTGCAGTGGTACTTGGACATACTATTACACTCTTTTTTTTTTAATTTTTATTTTGTTTAGCAAACAGAACAGTAGTATGCTCATTTTTAATATCTACTATCAGTATGTTATAGGTGGGACTGTTTCTCATCCACAACAGGCAGACTAGTTTCTCTTCAAGACTGGTTTTTAAGCAAAATGTGCTAAGGGTTTCCATTTAGCGCAGTTACTGCCTAAATGAAGCAGTTTCACTGGCTGTGTAACTACAGTTGTTGCAATAAAACTTAAGAAAAGATTGTCTTTTTGATTAGTTGTCTTTATTTGAATAACTTCTTAAAATGTAGTTTTGAGAGGCAAGAAAGATGAACGTGCTTTCTACAAGAAATCCAAAGGCGTAGTGAATACCTCTGGAAAACATGCAGTTTGGTTATTCATTAAATAGTACAGAAACAGTTTTAAAATCTTAATTTTTAATGATATGTGGTATATGAGCCAAGAGTTTAAAGGATCGACAGAGAAAAGCTTGAGGGAATATATATATGTAATGTATATTGTTCTAGTATTTATAACTAGATGCTGCCTATAAATAAAACAAAAGAGTTCATATGAGCCGTTTAACTGACCTTTAATCACATGGAATCTTTCTCAATTAAGATATTATTCCTCGTAACATTCATTCTGTAAAGTAGCTATTTTCATCTAGTACCAAAGTGGCTGTGTTTTTCCCAACAAATTACTAAACTTGGTTTTGATAACACAGATTTAAACTGTTCTTCCCCCAAAGCTAAATTTGTGATCTTAACTAGGTAGGAGTCCTGTTAAAAAAAAAAAAACAAAAACACCATAAAACAATTTGGGGTTGGGAGTTATTCTTAGAAATGTACTGCTCCTTTTAACTTGCCAATTTTGTAGCTATTCATCACACTCTAAGAGCAAGTCTCACGTTACCCAACTGAAAGATTTTTTTCCCTGTGTTCAGGAGATAATTCTCATTAAATCCTGACTTACGTGGTTAATAGTGTGAAGCACATGTGTTAATCTGCTGCTGATTATTGTGCCGTATGATCTACTTTCCTGACGGTCAATACAGTTTTACTCTCCTCGGTGATAACAACTGGGATTTTCAGTGTCGTTAAAGTACTGCGGATGCCTTGCAGCAGACACAACGCTAATGCCACCGCAGGCAGCCATCAGCTGGTTCTAATTGCCCTTTCCCTGCTTCTCTTCACAGAGTCAATATTGGGTGAGCAATATCCAAAAAACCATCGCTGGGTGTTATTCCCAAAGCGTGGCACGGGAAGGTGCGCTGCCCGGGAGCTGCTCTTTTTGCTTTCGCAATCACAGCATTCCCGTATGCTCAAAGGCATTTTGAAAAGCAGCATTATTGTCCTGTATGTGTCTCTGTGTTAAGAAAACAGCACTGAAACTATTTTAAGTTCAGGACTCTGTCTAAACAATATGGCTTTCATACCAGCTTGCTTACCCACTTAATTCCCTGCCCACTGCTGTTTGTTTCTGCTGTGGCATCCCAGGTCTGGGTTCAGGAGAGGTGACCTGAAGCCAGGTGCTCTGATAAGAGCGCCCCGTCCCAGCCTGATGGCACGGGGCGCAACCGTAACGGAAACCTGCCTTAGTCTTGATGAAATAGCCTGTAACCTCGTTTAGCCGCTACAGTGCAACAGCGCAGAGTCTGCTCTTAGGCATTCAGATGAGGCTTAGCAACAGATTTAGGGTAAGGTCAGTGCTATTGTTTGCTTGCTTATGGGGTTTTTTTTTTGGGGGGGTGTTGTTTGTTTGGTTGGTTTTTTATCTAGGCAGCCAGCTGTAAACTGAAGTGGCTTCACATTGTCATCGTTACTGCCACAGATCTAACAGTGCGACGGGCCGCTTGGGTTGTAGCTGGGATGGAAGTTGAGGTGGTCATAGGCAGTGATGAAGTTGTCTGGGCCGGTGACGTGGCTCTTCTCCAGGGAGGTGTTGAGCCCGTTATCTCTGTACATGCCATGCTGTGCCAGAGTATTCGAAAACGCGTGCGAGGTGACGTGGAAGGAGGTCTGCGAGAGCAAGAAAAGGGAAGATGCTTTAAATGCCGGTATCAATAGCACCCGCCACGTGCAGGAGCTTGGGTGAAAGGATAAGGGCACTTCATCTCCATTGGCTTCGGGGAGTTCATTGCCAGGGGGATGAAGGGATGGAGAGCAGCCCTGCCGAGAAGGATTTGGGGGTACTGGTGGGTGAAAAGCTGGCCATGAGCTGGCAATGTGCGCTCACAGCCCAGAAAGCCACCCGCATCCTGGGCTGCATCCCCAGCAGCGTGGCCAGCAGGGCGAGGGAGGGGATTCTGCCCCTCTGCTCTGCTCTCATGACACCACACCTGGGGTATTGCATCCAGCTCTGGAGCCCTCAACATAGGAAAGACATGGACCTGTTGGAGTGGGTCCAGAGGAGGACCACAAAGAGGACCAGAGGGATGAAGCCCCTCTGCTGGGAAGACAGATTGGGAGAGTTGGGGGTGTTCAGCCTGGAGAAGAGAAAGCTCCGCAGAGACCTTATTGTGGCCTTCCAGTATCTGAAGGGGGCCTACAAGAAAGCTGGAGAGGGACTTTTTACAAGGGGATGTAGTGATAGGATGAGGGGGAATGGCTCCAAAATGGAAGAGGGGAGATTTAGATTAGATACCAGGAAGAAATTTTTCACTCTGAGGGTGGTGAGGCACTGGAAGAAATTGCCCAGAGAAGTTGTGGAGGTCCCATCCCTGGAAGTGTTCAAGGACAGGTTGGATGGGGCTTTGAGCAACCTGGTCTAGTGGAAGATGTCCCTGCCCATCGCAGAGGGGTTGGAATTAGATGATCTTTAAGGTCCCTTCCAACCTAAAGCATTCTGTGATTCTGTGATTCTAGGTAAAGAGAAAAATCAAATCCAGATTAGATTTCAGATCTTGAATTTCAAATTCAACCATTTCAAACATTAAATATGAACAGTGGCTGTCCTGTTCAGCAGTCCTTTTTGACTGTCAGCCACCCCGTGCATCGAAAGAAGAAGAAAAGAAAATTTCTTAGCAAGCTGTGTGACCTAATCGTAGAATCTTAGAATGGTTACAGAATCTACCAAGGAAGGTTATCATCAATTTCCCATCTCATACTGACATGTCTGAAACTCTGAAAAGAGATTTTTAGAGATAAGTTAAGATAGTCTTATCTTAACATTAATCCTTATGCTATTTAAAAAGTGATTAGGTTGTCCACAAGTAGATATCCATTTGAGATGCTCCAGGCCATCTGAGACATCTGCATAGGTTTCATTATGCCTATGGAAGATCCAGGCCTTTATGGAGCAGCAGCTGGAAACCACACAGGATAATGAAGGCTGTCTTAAATCATATCAGATGTTGAATCAAGCCCTGTTTGCTCATTTAGAACACCATTGAACATACTACATTCTTGACTTGGGTTATATTAAATGGAAATTTATAACTTGTTATTTATTTTGAATAAAAAGATATTTATTACCGGCGGCCCGGCCCCGCGGTGAGTGCTGCCCTTCCCCGAGGAAAAGGGGGGGATCCCCCGGGCCGAACGATGTCCTTGCTGCCATCGCCAGGCCCCTGTACTCAATATGGGGACATCAGGGCCCTTTTTGCAGTGCCGGCTCAACCCCTGCAAACAAAACAGGAGGGAAAAGTGTTTGATCGATTTTTTTTTCCCTTCTCTCAGCTGTGGATGACAAGCTGCTGTCCGAGCCTCTCAGCCACCCCGACTTCTTCCCCCCGGGCCGAACGATGTCCTTGCTGCCATCGCCAGGCCCCTGTACTCAATATGGGGACATCAGGGCCCTTTTTGCAGTGCCGGCTCAACCCCTGCAAACAAAACAGGAGGGAAAAGTGTTTGATCGATTTTTTTTTCCCTTCTCTCAGCTGTGGATGACAAGCTGCTGTCCGAGCCTCTCAGCCACCCCGACTTCTTCAACGTGAAGGAGCTCTTCTCCCTGAAAGATCTCTTTGATGCTCGGGTGCACCTGGGGCACAAAAAGGGATGTCGGCATAGGTGAGTGACCCTGTTTGTGCTTGTCGGCATCAGGAGCGTTTCCCGAGACCGTGTGAGCCTTTGGGGGCTGCACTAGATCGGTCTGGGGCTGGAACTGCCCACACAGACCCACGTTTCATCCTGGGCACGGTTACTGCCCTGCAAAAGTGCAGGGACCCCGCTCAGCGTGGGCAGCAAGCGGGGTGTCAGACCTGCACCCCCTGAGCCTGGCTGGGACAGACACTGCGCACAAGGGCTCTCTGTACAGGGACCACCTCTGGTATTGGATGGGATTTGGGGTGTGGGAAGATTTCTGTGGGGCCACACCACTTTTAGAAATGCTGCTCGATGCCTGTAGCACCCCGTCCCCGTGTCCCCTTGTGTCGCCCTCCCTCTGGTCCCTCTAGGTTCATGGAGCCCTATATCTTTGGCTGCCGCCTGGATCAAGACATCATCGACTTGGATCAGACGATGCAGCACCTCCAGCTGGCTCTCAACTTCACCGCCCACATCGCCTACCGCAAGGGCATCATCCTCTTCGTCAGCCGCAAGCGCCAGTTTTGCCACCTGATCGAGAACACAGCGCGGGAGTGTGGGGAGTACGCCCACACCCGCTACTGGCAGGGCGGTCTGCTCACCAACGCACACATCCAGTTCGGCTCCGGCGTCCGCCTTCCTGACCTCCTCATCTTCCTCAGCAGCCTCAACAACGTCTTTGAGCCCCACGTGGCCATCCGGGATGCTGCCAAGATGAACATCCCCACCGTGGGGGTGGTAGACACAAACTGCAACCCCTGTTTGATCACCTACCCCATCCCCGGGAACGACGACAGCCCCACCGCCATGGAGCTCTACTGCAAGCTCTTCAGGATGGCCATCATCCGTGCCAAGGACAAAAGGAAGCAGAGTGAGGTCTTTGACGAGCTGCGGAGCAAAGCGGAGGGCAGTTAGAGCCCTAGGGACAGGCTCGGCCGTGCTCAGCAGCTCGGTGATGGGCGTCCTGCTCCACTCCTGCGGGCGCTGACCCAGAGCATCAGCTTTCGGTAGAGCTGAGCTGGTTGTGGAAGGGACCCCTCCAGCTCTGCCGCTGCGCAGGGATCCCATAGCCGTTGCAGCCGCGGTGGGTCTCTAGCTCAAAATAAAATTGTCCGGAGCAATGCAAGGGGAGGCAGCGACAGGCCAGAGCCAGCTCTGGTCCTTGTTTGTCCCTGTTGCAAGAAGGTGCCTCAGTCCTGTGGCCTTCCTGTTCCTGAGCTTCTGATCTCACCTGAAACCACTTGTATCTCGTGCCTCTTGATGTGACAAATAAAGGTCCCTTTGATGTTTTTTCTTTTTTCCCTTGTGAAATGTGAAGGTACAGGGGAGCCTCTTATAAATTTTCTGGTCGTGGGAGGGGGAGTGAAAGGTGTTCCCAGCCCCGGGGACCCTCAGGGAGGGGCAGGGCAGGCCGCAAGGCTGGCCGCTGCATCACGGGGCTGGAGGGTCCCCGTTTTGTCCCGGGGTCCGACCGCTGCCACCGCCGTGGGGAGCGGGGCACTGCGGGCTGCAGCTGAGGAAAGGGAAATCCAGCCCCTATCACGCCTCGTGTCTCTGCGGGATGGCTTAGGGCGGTCCCCCAGGGCTGGGGGTGAGCGTGGGGAAGAGGTCTGGACCCGGGGTCCCCGTCCCCGTCCCGTATCCCGGGCCGGAGTCCCGGGCCCCTCTCTGCTTTGCGTCCTCCCGCCCAGCAGGGGGCGCCCGCGGGAGGAGACGCGCTGCGCCGA